TGTGATTTGTCCTCTTCTCCATGAGCTCCCTGAGTTCTCATTCATCTTTGCTTTCCTGGTTCCTGGCATCATGCCTGGCATAGAGTTAGCGTCGGTGAAAGTTTGAGGAATGAGTGGAATAGCTGCACCAGCACCATGCACAGTGTGTGTGTGTGTGTGTGTGTGTGTGTGTGTGTGTGTGTGTGTGGCGGGGGGGGGGCAATGAGGGAAGAAACAGCAAGTTGAGCTGTTCCCAGACACCTCCCACAACCCCCCTGGCCGGCTCTCCCAGTTGGGGAGCAGGTCCAAGGCTCTGCCTCACCTCCAAAGCACTCAAATAAGGCAGAAGTAAGTATGGTGTTCCTTTTCCCCCTGCACAAGAAGCGCCTCTCAATTATCTCTGTGGGGATGCCCAGGGCAGGGCAGGAGGGGGATGAGGGGTTCTCTCACAAGCAACGAGGCCACTCAGAGGACAAGACCCAGAGCATCTGGAGTACCGAATACATGGACCATGGCAAGCAAGGGCAGTTACGATGTTCCTAGGGAAGGAGACTTGTTCCTGGGACCTAAAGGTTGACTTATCTCTCTCTCTCTCTCTCTCTCTCTCTCTCTCTCTCTCTCTCTCTCTCTTTCCCCTCCCTCCCTCTCTCCCTCTCTTTTTCCCTCCTTTTCTCCTCTACTTCCTCCCTCCCCTCCTCCTTCCCCTCTCTCTCCTGAGACAGGGTCTCACTATGCACCCCAGGCTGCCCTTGGCTCTAGATCATCCTGCCTCAGGCTCCCAAGTGCTGGAATTACAAGAGTGTACTACCATACCTGGCAGTAGACCAACTTGTTATAGCAGAGGAGACATCAATGCTTCTCAAGGTTGCCCTCTTCCCAAAGCTTCTTGGGCTCCTAAAGCCTAGAGTGAGGCAGTTCATACTTTGCCTGCTCCAACACTGGGACATGGGACAAATCAGGGTAGCCACTTTCTAGATGGGAATATTGAGGCACTGGGGAGCCAGTGTCTTGTTCCAACCCCGTAGAGGCCAGAGGACCCATGACTTCTGCCATCACAAGTAGATGGCACTATCACAGGTTTGGAGGGTCAGAGAATTGTACTCAATGTGCGGCCTGCAGATGTACCCTGAGTCCCTCCACACAAGGTGGCAGAGCTGTTAGTTAAGAATGATACCATCAGTTGCCAACAGATGAGCCAATGACAGAGCTGAGTGTTTCAGGTGGAAGCACCATGATCTTTTCCCTATTCCAGTGCTCTTGTCAGACTGTTCATTTTTTGTTTTGACAGTCCTGAAGTTCAAACTCAGTGCCTCACGATTGCTAGGCAGGTGCTCTACCACTTGAGCCACTCCATCCGTTCTTTTTTGTGTGGGGTTTTTCAAGGTAGGCTCTCTCTAATGATTTACCTGGGCTGGCTTTGAACTGTGATCCTCCTGCTCTCTGCCTCCTGAGTAGCTAGGATTACAGATGTGAGCCACTAGCACCTGGCTCAGACTTTCCTTTGAGGTTACCCTACCCACTGTGTCTCAACATTTACAACTGTCTCCCCAGAACATCTCAGGTAATGTCTCATGTCTGAGAAGTACTTCTGACATCCCTTGCTTCCTTATAGCCCACACTCTGGTCCCCACCCAGACCCTTGTTACATCTCTCTCAGACATAGCATTTGTATGTTATCGGGTCCTTCAACCTTGTTTCGCCCACTTCTTCAGTCTCCAAGGTTCCACTTTCTGAAATCTAGCCCCAATCTTGCCACTCCCTGGATCCAGTCTTCAGTGGTTCCCTGTTGCCTATCAAACTGTGGCAGAGCCCTTAACTTGGCATTCAAAGGATCTGAATTTCCAGCTTTAACTCCTCACTCCCTGTGATGTTCACTCTGCTCCAACGCTCCAGATCTGTTCCTCCTACCTAGAAAGCCCTCCAGTCCTCCCATCTGTTGAAATCTCACCCAGCCTTCCAGACCTCTACACACATACCTCCTCCTCCCGTCCTGACAGCTTGGATGCACTCTCTCCTTCCCCTGAGCACTCCCAGGGTACATCATGGGAATTAATGATGTGGAAAATGCATATGAGAACAAACCCTGCACATTCAGTCAGTCAGTAATTGTTGAATACCTACTGTGTGCTTAGCAACTCTAGGCATCAAGGATATAAGTGAAAAGGGCAGGTGTGGTGTCTGCCTATGGAGTGTAGACAGCCCATGCTCTAGAACACACTAAGTTAGCCACAGGCCCACTCATTGAGGAGCACATCTAGGGACTAGCTTGCTGGTTGCCTGTTGGTGAGTGTTTAGGGAATGCAGACCAGCACAACTTGGTCTAAGATGAAAGTTCTCCACAGTCCACATAGAATCAGCCTTTGCACTTGTGTTCCCCATCAGTCCAGGCCTGCAGGTCTCTGGGATGTTCCACAGGCCATGTCCATTCACCTGCTTGGGGCCCACTCCCTCAGGGTGCCACACCCTCCTGACTGCCCCCAGGGCTGGCAGCCTAAGGTCTCTGGCAATCACAGGGGCTGAGAGGACAGGGCCTCCAGGATAGTCAGCTGGCCATGATGGAAGAGCAGATGGACTCTTCTCTTCATTCTCTTCCCCACCTGCCCTCTGACACAGAGAAAAGAATGGGAAGGGAAGGGGAGGGAAGTTTCTAGGTAAGACATTCCATTCGTAGTTTCTATGGGTCCACAGACCCCAGTTCTGTAGACCTGCTACAGACCAGGCTGATATTCACATTTTCTCCACTACACAGCACAGCCCTGACCAATCACAGTGGATCCTGGGCAGGAGCAGGACCCAGGATTGCTAGATTGTTGAGTATGCACAGGGTCCCTAGCTAGGGACAGTGCAGGTGGGTTACTCAGGGAGTCTGGGCCATGGTTATTTACCAATTAGGGCAGAAGTATTCTTTCTTCTTTTAAACATTCAAATAACTAGTGTTTAAAATTTGAAAGGTTAGTGTGATGGTGTACTCCAGCCCCACTAGCCCTCCTACCCACCACAGAGCTCACACAATCGTATCAAATCCAATTCAATACCGCATATTTTATTAATGTTTTTCATGAACAACAGAGGCCCATGTACACAAACGTTACTCAAGCATCTCACCTGGCAACCTCCCCAAGTAGCTGACCTCCCGCTGGTCCCTATTTTTTCCCCTTCTGGGACATGGCAGGGCTGGCTCCCAAGCTTGTACTCCAGGGTCAAGACAGAGACAAAGCCTGAGTTGTCTCCCTCCCTGCTCCACTCCCACAGCTGAAGTGTGGCCAGAATTGGGAGTGAGGATGCTCCCAATAGGTACTCCACTAAAGAAGCCTGGGCTCTCTTCAGCCTCCCTGCCACATCCTTCTCTTCCAAGTGACCTGCCCTCCTGACCACCAAGATGGTGGAGCAACCATTTGTCAGAGGGTGGGAGTCAATGCCCTTGATACCACGGATCTAGTCGTCCTGTTTAATACTGCGTTGCCAGTGTCCAAAGCTTGGCTCATAGTTGGTGCTTGATAAATGTAGATGGGATGAATGAATGGATGACTGAAAGACTGAATTCCGGAGAGAGAAGTATGAGCAGTCAAGCTATTACTACATTAGCCCTCTAGGGGGCGTGAAGGCAGGACAAGGGTAAAATCCTCCCAAGCTCTGCTTAAGGATTCCGATGCTGTGCAGCAATGGTTTGGGTCACCATGATCATCCACTGGACCCTGCAGGACATAGGCTTCAGCCCTGATACCTATATGGATGTCAGATTGGCCTTGGGACCCAGTCAGGATGGGGCACTTGTGTTGTCCCCACTCCCTCATATGCCCCAGGGGTCTGGTCTCCTGGGTCCCAGAACACAGAGTAATGCCTCCATCCAGAGCCAGTCACCTGGGCAGGGATGGTCTGGCAATCATGCTCTCATCTTCTGCTCATTCCCATCCCCCAGCCTTTCCCTCAGTCTGCTCCCTCAGGGCTGAGCATGACCTTCAGGCTTTTCTCTCCTCATAGCTAGCCCCACCTGACTCTGACACTGCTCCATCTCCGTGTTCACAAATGCTAGTCTTCAGCCCCTATTAACATCTAGGTAGTCCTCTCCTTGGTGCGAAGTAGCTGGGTTGGGTCCCAAACGTCTGCATCATGATTTTTAGACCCCTCCCCACTATGCCCTCCATGAAAGCAAATAGCTCCCAGGCATCTCTGCAGTTCTGAACCTTGGGTTTAGCAGTGACAAAGAGGATACAGGAATCTTGGAGTGGGAAGGGATCTCTAAGCTTACCTAGAAAAGGCTGTGCAAGAATCCCTTGCACAGCATGCCTGAAAGCTAACTGCCAGGAGCCTGCTAGCATATCTCCAGTGATAAAACACTTACTACTCTTTCAGGTAGCATTCAAATTTTGAACAGCTGTTCCTACTAGAACGTACTTTATACAGGGCCTAAATGAACTCATTTGCCCCGCCCCCTCCCAACTTCCCCTTCCCTAAGCCTTTTTCTTCTGTGTTCATAATAATACTGATTTCTATCACCACCCTCTCTCTTTCTCACACACATACACACACAACCACACAAGTCCCCTTCTATACGGTTATATGGGGTTATACAGTCACACACCTCCCTCATTTATCAGCAACTCCTCCTCTTCCTTACCTTCCCAACATCTAGCAAAAACCCAGAGGCTGGAGACCAAAGAGAGAGGCCAGAGGAGTGCCAGAGAAAGGGAATATCTGGCTAGGCCCTGGCCTGCAGTGCCCACCTGAGGCAGGGTGAACAGAGGACAGCATCTGGAAATACCAGGCTATTAGTTGCTGTCTCCAGAGAAAGGGCCTTGAAACTTGAGTGGGCAGCAAGTTCCTGTACTCTTTGTCCCCTTACTGCTCACCATCCCATGGAGGGGATGAGGACACATATCCACCCTTCCCATCTTCCCTAGCAGTTGACAAGGTTGACATGGTTACCTCTCACATGTGGTCATTGTAAACATTTGCCAGCCTCCAGTTCCTGGGAGCTCATAGCAGCAGCAAGGATCCACTCCTCATTGACAACGTGAGGAGAAGGGCTCTAGCAGAAGCAGTGACGGCGTGAGACATGATAGAGGGACCGGTCAAGCAGAGGCAGAAAGAAGGGCTCGGAAGAAGAAACAGAAGCAGAGATAGCCTGACAGCAGCTACCTGGTTGGCTGATAAGGAGCCTAGCACTGCCTGGGTGGCCTTTTTTTTTTTTTCTCTCAGTCACAATCCACCAGGTGATGCTGTTCTCTATGGGCTGAAGACCCCCGGGGTGGTAGGAGGACCTTAGCAGCCCGAGGTTGTAGTGGGTCATAGGTAGAGACAAGGGTGCTGTGGTTCTATGTTCAGAAGTAATCGAGACACAGAGAGAAATGATGGCAGTGCCTGCCTGCTACTTGTCCTGCTGCTTAGAGCTCTCACTTCCGACATTGAACATGGGGACCAGCAGGCCCAGCAGCCACCTCTTTCCGAAGACCTCCTGTAAGTTCTTGCGCCAGGGCCGGGCACTCACTGTCACCCCCTTTCGAACCTGGTGGCGAGTCTGCCCCCGGAGGATCAACAGCAGCTGGTGGCAACAGAAGCCAGCGCAGGCCAGGCCAACAGCAAACCAGAGGTAAAGCATGAGGATGACGAACATTTCAGAACCGAGGACAGCTCCTGCGGGGGAGGGGAGACACCAGAACCACTTTACACCCAGGCCACGTACAGAAGCGCAATCCCGGCCGGCGCTTTCCGCTGGGAGGCGAGGAGATTAATGAGATGGGTGCTATATTTTGTAGCAATCTCAGCGCTGCTGCCAGGGAGAGGAGGATGAACTAGTTGCCCCAACTTTTCCTTAGTGCCAATGGCTCCTGGGGCGAGGAAGGAGAACTGGGACCTGGGAAGATGGGAAGAAAGCTGGGTGAGCTCAACAAGGGGAGCTCCCAGCTTCTCTGAATCAGCCCTAGGAGCTGTGCACATTTCCCTAGAGGCAGAAATGCCCATTTCCTTCTCTGGTTTCTCTTTCCTGGCTGGAAACAGGGAGAAGGTGGGTTTCTCTGGAGGACAGAGAGGTGAGTTGAGGACCCTAGGGAGGGAGCCAGTGCCTGGGCAGCTGTCTTGACTGCAGCGCCATCTCCCTGTGGGGCTAGGTGCACTGTCTGGGAGGACTCTGGAAAGTGACAGCATGATGGAGAACAGGACCTAATCATCAGGAAGAACAAGTCACGAGCTCAGCCTCAAGGGCAGTGCAGAGAGCCAACTTAGAGAATAATTTAGTCATTAATGTTAACAAGCGGACAGCATGACCACCAGAACACTCAGCCAGAGCTGGCCTGTCATTTGGAGCTAGCTAAAGCTGGAAGAAGTCCCCAAGGTCATCAGTTGAGCCTCCTACTGTGGGACAGCACCTCCCTCCCCTAAACCAGTCTAAAACAAGCACTTCCTATGACTGGTTTTAAATATCCACTTAGTAAGAGATCCCGCATATTCCCTCAGAGTTTTGGGGGCGGGGGAGGTTAGTCTATATTATGTTTGAATCTCCCAGCTGTGTGGATTTGCACAAGTTTCTCAACCTCTTTAAGTTTTGGTTTGCTCATCTCCAAAATGGGTATAACAATAATGATTTTTTTCTTTCTTTTTTTTTTTTTTTTGTAGTACTGGGGCTTGAACTCAGGGCTTACACCTTGAGATACTCCACCAGCCCTTTTTTTGTGACAGGTTTGTTTGAGATAGGCTCTCATGAACTATTTGCTCAGGCTGGCATTGAACCAAGATCCTCCTGATCTCTGCCCCCTGAGTAGCTAGGATTACAGGTGTGAGCTACCAGTGACCTGCTGATAGCAAGTCTTTCTTTGCAAAGTTGAAGGTAAACAGATCTCATTGCCCAGGAGATAGAAATTTCACTCCAGCTGCATTTAGAGCGGCCCTCCACTGGTATAGTGACAGCAATGGGACAGGCTCACATTGCCCTGTGCCATCCCCTGACCCACTTCTTCCTTGTCAGCACAGATTAGCTTGGACAGCTGCATACAAGATGGAGGATCCTGGGGCCAGGTACCTTTCTGGCTGGAGGAATGCTGATGGGCAGAGATAGACATGGAGCTGTGTTGTGAGAACATCAGAGCTGTCAAGCTCAGACCTGCCTTGCAACTTAGCCCCAGGACCAAGCCTGGGCAGATGGAAGCTGTTTCCCACAGGCTATTTTCTGCCTCTAAATCAAGGTATGAGGAAAAGACCTTGTGGCCTTTCCCTGTCTCCATGCAGCAGCTATAAAGGGCTATTCTGGGGATCTGCTTTCTCTCAAAATATTTGAAGTTACCTAGCCTGGCTGCTTTAGTTGTTCTCAATGTTAATAATAGTTCTACTTCTTTTAGAAAATCATAGAATTTTCTTAAAGGGCCTGAAAGAACACACCATTCAATCTTCCCTGCCTCCTGGCCCCCATCAGCCACCTGTAACACCTTTGAGAGATCATTGCCCAGCATCCTCTTTAACACAGCCAGGGACGGGAAGCTCCCCCTCTCAGAGAGGCTCATTCATTGTGAAGCAAGACCAGGGAGCTAGGGTGAGCTTTGGAGGCAACGGTTTGGAGTCCAAAGCTGTACGACTCCACCTAGCACTTCACCTGGCTGAACCTTTGGTTCTTGCTTTAAAAATGATATGAAAATTACCTGCTTCATAGGACGAACAAAATGAGACGTACCCAGTGGGGCACATAATAGATGCTCAGCAAACATCGATCCCCTTTCCCTTGTACTGGACCCTCCCATTGCACCTAACCACTGGTCTACTCATCTGAAAGCCATGACGTGTCAGATGATGTAATCTCCATTCTCCAGATAAGAAGGAGGTTTAGAGAGGTGACACAAACTATACTGGTCCCACAAAGCCAGAGAAAGGACAAGTTGCAAAGACTGATTAGCGAGCCTCTCCCTCTGGCATTAGCTAAAGGCCTAGATCAGCGGTCACTTTCACTTTAGAACCCACCCTGACACTTTTAGTTCTCACCACCCCCACTCACTGGTATCCCATGCTCTGGCAGCAGAGCTGACTCAGGGGAGGTACCAGAGTTGGGGATAGCTCAATTCCTAGTAAACAACTTGTGCCTTCATAACTCCCTCCTGCCACCTCTCTTCCTGAGCAGGCAAGAGAGGGAGGATGGACTAGGAGTCAGGAAGAAGAGATATGAAGGAAGAAGTGGAATAGAGGGGTTATGTGGGGTAAAGAGGGGAAGGGTTGGGGAAGGCAGAGGTGAAGAGTCAGCAAGGAGGAAGAGGAGATAGGAGAGCTGGAGATGAGAAATCTTGACCTCCTTACCCTAGGGAGTATGGTGAAGGATATTGGGGTTCATCCTGATGCTGGATGGCTCTGTTCTCCCTCAAATCAAAGCAAGAGCCTCTTCTTCCTTTCTCTCTTATCTCCCAAACCTAGCACATATGGACAAGCCTCAAGCGCAGACTTAAATCAAACCATTTCAAGATCCTCCTTCTGGAACCACTCATGAAGCTACTTGGAAAAGGATGTGTAATCAGGTTCTTTGGCTCTTCTCATCCCTCCACCTGTCCTTGCTCACACTCCACCCCCCAGCCCGCCCACCTACCCTCCCCCATCCTGATTATTTTGGTTCTGGCAGCCATCTATGCTAGCACCGATATCCAGAAGGCCCAAGAGCTCTGAGTTCTGGGCCCAGCTCAGCCACCAGCCGTCCGGGCATCCCCCATGGCTGGGTCCTCCCTGGGCCTCTGTGATCCCACTGACAAATGGCACAATAGTTCTATGCTCAGGAAGAACAGGACTCTAACAACTACTGAGACTGAAATGATGGCTCCCTCAGAGTAGAGAAAAAATTTTATAAATGTCCAGCCCAGGCCAGTCCAGGTGCATCAAGGAATCTGGGCTCTCGTAGGAAGTAGCTGTCTTTCTTTGTCTCTGGAAGATCAGTGTGTTTGGGAACATGTTCTACTCCCTGTGCTGGGAAGAGCACTGGACTGTGGTTTACGACCTGGGGCCAGGCCAGAGACTGCCACCCAGTAGTAAGATAGTAGGCAGACCATTTATTCCTATCTAAGTCTCTGTTCCTTCATTTGAGAAATAGAGTTCACAATGACACACCCCCACACATTTGTGCACACTACCAACTACAGGAACCAAATCGGCCATGGTCAAAAATCAAGGTGGGAAAGGAGCAGAAGGAAATGATGCAGGGGCAAATTTCAAAGCCAGGTAAAGGAGTAAGAACTGCCACCAAGAGCCAAATTGTCTCCCAGGGCCAGGAACCAGGGAGCATTCCTTGAGGGTGCCCAGCTGGGCACCAATGTTATGACCCACATGCCTGACTCCCGCACGTGTCAAAGTGTTTTAGAGGGTCAGATCCCACACCAGGTCCAAGCTCTTTATTATGGATATGGATCCATTAAATATGGCAGCATCTCTAACCAGAGTGCGCCCTGCTCTAAGCCACTTTCAGGCTGCAGAAGTCTGGTGGGGTCAAACCTAGTGGGTGGGAGGATAGGGCTTTGCCTTCGCTGAACATGGCCTGGTGTCAAGTTCAATCTTACTGCAGTTGGCAGGTAAGACCTCTGCAGGGCATTCCGTGGGGAATGTGTGAACAAGACTGGGGTCCAGGCAGAGGAAAGTCATAGCATGGAGGAATGTGCCTACTACTGAGCAGATATGTGGCCTGGATACCACAATTCTACCACAGTATGCTAGATGACAGCAGGAAGGGAAGGTTGTCAGATAAAATAGAGCTAATTTGAATTTTAGAATAACAGTGTATTCTTTTAGTATTAGTATGTCTCATATGGTATTGAGATATAATTATACTAAATAACTTATCTGGCATTTTAATTTCGCTGGGGTTTCTGTGGTTTCTTTTTGCTAAATCTGCCAGTCCTTGGGGTTGGCCTGGGAAGTCTTGTTTACAGAACTTGCCTGCCAAGGGTCACTCACCAGAGAAGAACTGGCTGATGGAGGTGGGCAGAAGCGTGAGGAAGGCCAGGGGGTGAGCGAAGGAGATGGAAAGGACAGCGGAGATGTAGGCCACGCCGGCCACCATGGAGTAGAGGCAGGCCAGGGAGGTGTAGAGACAGAACAGGACAAAGTTGCGCATGTTCCTGCTGCCGATGCAGTTGCCGGTGAAGAAACAGTGATGGTCGTGCCTCAGCGTGACTCGGGCGCACACTCGACAGAAGTGGGTGCTGGGCGGGGAGCACTGAGCCTTCCTGGACGAGGTCCCCTGGCAGGCGCCCAAGTCGTCGGGGGAGTTCTGGATGACCAGAACATAATTGCCCAGGGCATTTGCAGAGAGGAACAGGAAGAGCGCCCCGTGGAGCAGGGCAGGTGAGAAGAGCGGGGCGGCCGCGGGGTCTTCGTGCATGCTGGGCAGGAAGAGGAAGAGCTGCAGAACGAAGGTCACCAGGGAGATGCACAGGAAGTATGCGGGGGCCACCACGTTGAGCAGCCGAAGAGCCAGCATTTTCGATTACATTCCTATGGGGTACAAGAGTAGAGAAAGTCTTACTGGTGTTTAGGGGGCGCCCTCGTGCGCTCCTCGCATGTCAGGGGTCCAGAGGGCTGTGCGCAAATGTAAGCTCCTAACCCCTGCCCCTAGGGTCACTCCTCCTTGGGAAGCAGGTGAGACCTAGAGAGGCAGGCCCTCAGACTGATAGTGACCTTGGTGCCCTGGATAGAGGAACGAAGTCAGGCACAAGGAGCGAGGGACTTGTTTGCTTGCAGTCTGTAAGTGTTGTGAGTGGGGAGTAGGATGGGGGGGCTGAGTGATAGGGTTGTGTCCCTCAAAGCCGTGGAAATGAGTTTAGGTTCAGGATATCTGAAGAAAGCCAAGAATTTGGGGTGGGGGCAGAAAGAACCACTTGAGTGACCGGAAATCCTGCTTCACCTCTCCTTCCTCTGCCCCGTAACCCCCTTCTTGAGCAATATTCAGGGACCTCACCTGTTACCCAAGGCACATTTGTAGATACTGGGGGGAGGAGGTGTTTCCCTGTGTGTGTAACTCTGTATACGTAATCTGTGCGCATCTGGGTATCTGTATTTTTGTGTGTATCTGTGTGTACACACGCAGCTACTGCAACCTGGCTTTTTATTTAAAAAAATCAATTAAAAGATCGATATATGCACACGAGCCGGATGAGGTGGGGGAGGCGCAAGGGGTCGGTCCTGCTCAGCCCATTTTTGTGGCGCTGGCAGCCCTGGCTATTTGCGAAGAGTGTTTTCATTGAAGGAATGAAATTAAAATGTCCCCTTCACGCCCTCCTTCCGCTCGAGACACCCAAACAATCCCCGTGGCGCGGAAAGAAACCCTTTCCATGCCAACAAGCCAGCCCCGGGCGGATGAGTGAATCTTGACCAGCCTTTCCTGGAATCTGCACCCCACCCGCCGTCGCCCCCACCGCCCAGCCCCAACCCCCAAAGCCCGTGTTCCTGCCCAACTTCGGAAGCCACAGGGAAATAGGACTTGTGCGCGGGAGAGAACTTTTCCGGGGTCTAAGGAATCAGCCAGGGGGAGGCGTGAGAAAAGTTCTGGGAAGGCGACTGCGCCCAGGATGGACGGATTCTGGGGAGCCTCGGTCCAGGATGTCCCGTCGGGACTGAGGAACTGGTCACCTTGTAATCCTTTTTGCAGGTGACAGTGATAAAACACACACACACACACACACACACACACACACACCACACCAATCCCCAGGGACCCGTGGCCGCCAGGGGAGCTCAGGCCTCTCTCTGCCGCTGGGGTGCAGCGCAGGGCGAGCCTGAGGGGTGGTCGCTGGGGACTCGGCGCCGCCCCTAGCCATGCGCCCCCAGAGGCTGCTGCGGTGCTGCCCACCCCAGAGAGCCCTCGGTCCAGGGCTCCGGCGAAGCAAGTGTCTTCCCCGCGCCAGTCGCCAGGGGGGCGCGGGAGCAGCCTCCAGATGCGCCGCGGCGCAGGAAAGGCAGAGGACAGGGGCTGGGGGAGTGAGGGGCGCTCAGCGGGCGGCCGCAGTCCGGCCCCGCACTGGAGAAGCCATAGCCGAGAGCGCCCCCGCCGCCCTGGGCGCGGGGAGCTGTCCGTTCAGCACTGGCGCCTGCCTCGCGGGCCGCGGAGGGCGGCACAACGAGCCCTGCCCAGGCGGGCAGCGCGGGCGATCGTCGGCTCCTCGGCCACTGCCTCCGGACGCCCGGGAAGCCGCCACTCGTGCCACCGCCGCCTCCGCACCACCGCAGAGGGGTGGGGAAATGAACTCACCGAGCTCTGGTCGCCGATAAGAGGAGCCCTGGACGCCGGCTCTCGCCCTCCCCAAGGCTGCAAAGTTGTGGGTTCGGCCCGGCTGGCTCGCAGCCTTCTCACGCTTCGCTTCGGGGACTGGGCAGGTAGCGGGGTAGTGGGAGGAGGGAGCGGGCAGCTGCCGCCCTCCCTCTTGGGCGCCAGCGAGTGGGGGCCAGGAGGCGGGAGGATGGCAGCTGGGCACCCCCCAGCCCCGCCATCCCTCCCTCCTCTCCTGGGGGCGGGGCTCTGGCCACCGGTTCGGCATTGTGGACTTGCCCCCCACATCCCCGCCCTTCTCGGTTCCCCTTGAGCGGGTTAGGGCGCCTGCCTGACTTCAAAGCCTGTTCCAACTGGGAGATGGGGATTCAGCTCTGATGTAGATGCTCCAGCCATCACCCTGCCCTTCTCCCAGCTTCCTGGCTGTGACCAATTACCTTCCCTGCTGTAGGCTTGGATGGAAGGAAACCTGGGGGTTTGAGAGCTCAGCATATGAGGGCAACACCCTTAAGATCAGCGTTATCTCCTCAGAAGAACTAAAGGATTAAGGACCAGGACCATGAGCCTGTCTGCCTGGCTTTGAATAGCCACCATCCATTACGGTGTGATCTTACATTCCCGTGTCCTCATCTGTAGAGTAGAGGAGTGAGTGTCAATTGGCAATAGACCATAAAACCCTTAATCAGAGCCTGCTGTGGTGAGCTCTGTCTGGGTTTTAGATCAGCGTGATGGACATCACAGATTGGGCAGTTCCTGTGTACCAGGCACTGTGCTAAGCCTTTTGTATGAGGCAGTTTCATTCATCCTGTCCCAATATCTGAGAAACTGGATGAGCCCCATTCTAGGGACGAGAACATTGGGACTAGAGGAGCTCTGTCACATGCCCAGTGTCATAGAGCAGGTGAGTGACAGAGCTTGGATCTAAACGTGGTTTTAGCACAGAGGCTTCAGTTCTCAGCTTCTATACACCCCAACATCACCCTGGAATTCAAGAACATCTTTGGTTTGGGGGAGGGGAGGACAACAGGGGTTTTATCCAGACACAGGGCTAGAACCTGGAGCTTTTGCTTAGGGCCTCACCCCTATCTCCCAGTTCCTTCCCCCTTCCTCTACCTGGATGCCACAATTCTCAGGTGGGTGCTGTGAGGCACCAACAGGGTGGCAACACCAGTATGTGTCAAAGGGGGAGGGGCGCTTAGAACCTGAATTACTGCAGGGATGTTGGTGCCTTTGCTAGTCTCAGTTTCCTGGCCATCATATTCCCTAGCTCCACTCGTCTGGGTGCAGGCAAACACAATAAATAAATGCTTACTGCTTTCTCCACTGGTTGATTAAAACAAGAGCAGTCCCTTGAAGTGAGGGCTATATGCTGATCACTCAGCCTCTATTTTTGAATCATCAGACAATGTTTTCTCTATTTTATCCGCATACATAAAAATAAAAAATGGGGCCAGGAAACCTTTTCATGTTCTGGAAAGATCTTATATACAAGTAGAAGAACAGCATGCCGGGAGGTGACCTCTGAGAATCTGGTAGCCTTGTGAGTTGCGGTGACCCCAGGACAGACACGAGGAAGCACAAGTGGCCTTTTTCCTTTCAGAGTAGCTTTGTGTCACAGGCCCAGCTGTCTGCGCCTCCTTCCCAAGCTCTGCCAGCCTCTCACGCTGGCTTGGGAGGGAGGGAAACCCGGAGTGCTTGGTTTTGGCCATATTGATTGAAGGTCTCCATTCCTTAAATACCTTGAGAATCTGGTGGTATTTCTAATTTTATTTTGCATATGGGTGTGTGGTGGGAAGGTGTGTGTCTGAATTTGTGAGAGGGGAAGAAAGAGAGAGAGAGAAGCCAGGCGAACGTGGGAAGATGTCAGTGGGGGAAGGGAGTAGTGAGCCAGGAGGGAGAAGGAGATCCAGCCGTGCAGACACAAATGGACAGGATGATTATTTATTTAGAAATGTAGCTTTTCAACGGAAAAGGGCATTAAAACCAGAGATCTACATCTGCTGGTTCCTCTCCCCCATAAGGAGTTGAGAGAGAGGCAGAGCAGCCTTATTTCACTAAAATTGCTGCTTAGCTCTGACAAAATCAATAGAGACATCAATTGGAGATTTTCTGGCCCCATCAAAGTTAAGCAGAGTAAGAACGAACACTTTATTGCCACTTACCAGCTGTGTGAACTTGAGCAAGTCATTTAACCTCTCTGTTATCTGATTTTCATCCGTAAAATGGGAATAATGATGTTATTTGCTCTGATTATGACCAATAAAATGGGTAATGTAATTTAAGTGCCTTGGTCCCAACAGGAGATAGGACCATATTATCTTCTTCTAACCTCCTATCTCTCTTCTGGGCTCTTATCTTTATCTACAGCACTGTCTTCTCCTTATAATTAAAACAAAAACTCCTGCCCTATATTGGAAATACTGGGGGGTCTTATCTGACTTGCCCAAAGTAGATCTGAGTAAAAGTGTATTGACTTATGAATTGATACTGGTCTCTCTCTGAAAGGAAAAGCTATATCTGAGGTCTTCGGAATGTCTGGTGAGGACACATTTGTCATTGATCTTGCGTCCCACTGCTACCCACCCTGACTATAGTCTCATTCTCCATAAACAGTGTCAGGAAATAATTTACAAACCACATTCTCCATCCCCCCTGTCATATATTCTCACAGTTAAACCATGACTGTGCCTGCAGGCAGTCCCAAGGGGGCAGGGACAAAGATAAGCATCTGATTGCTGCTGAGTACTTTCCTGCAGATATGTGCCATAAATGTTGCTATTTAGTGGTGCCATCTGAGTAAAATGAAGTCTCTTCCAAGTGGCAATCATTCCATTTTCCTATGAAATGTAGTAGCCAAAGGAAGAAAGCCCATGAAGCAAGCAGCTTCTCTCTTAGGTGAGGGATCCCAGTGTGTGTCAGGCCTGCAGCTTCCAAATACTTTGGTGGAGACCATTCCAAGATACAAGGACCTGCAGCAAAAGCTGATGGGGCTTTGTTTCCTTCGTTGTTATGTTTTTAGTTCAGATGGATCAGGGTGACTGTAGGCTGGGGTCTCAAGGTTAACTGGTGCTCTGAAATTAACATTGTAATAGACATTCTCAGACTGGAAGTTCTTTACTGCTCCCAGCGAAGTATAGCCAGGGGCAACCACAAAGTGCTTACCAAACCTCCGAAGGCTTAATAAGATGCCATCCCTGCCTGCCTGGATTCAGAAAACATATATGTGTAAAACTCATCTTAGCCAACAGAATTGGATTATCACAGAATCTCTATTTGGAGGTGGTAATTTACTTTGCCAACACTGTCTTCCTTCTAACAACAATTACATTACTTTGATGTTATAAAGTGCCTTGCAGATAAAAAGTACCTTTACAAAATTAAAATTTCATTCCATGAGTCTCTCAACAGCCCCATAAACCAGCTGGGGGGAGAAGAATTAAACCCATTTTTCTTATGTAGAAACTGAGGTTCAGTGATTTGCTACATGTTGGTTTATAAGCCTTGCCTATGTCCAATTTAACAAATGATTAGACAGGAAGATCTCACTGGTACTTCTTTTTTGGAACATGCCGCTTGCATAGAGGAAGCAGGTGTGTACCCAAATCCTCAGAGTAAAGACCCACGTGATCTGACTTTATCTAAAGCTGCTCTACTCTTCACCCTGCTATGCATTGGCCCCAGCAGCACCTGTCACCATCTGACATAGTATACATTAATCTGTTCACTGTTTGTCTTTCTCCACTAGGATTTGAACTCTTCTGGTCCCTACTGTATCCCAAGGCATATGATAGTGTCTGGTACACAGTAGATGCTCAATTAATAGCTCAATTAACACTAGCTGAATGAATGGATAACTACACTGGGCACAGGTAAACATGTAAACCTGCAGCACATTCATCAGATGTCATCAAGCCCTCTACTCCTGGCAGTGCTAGAGCGGGTGTATGTGATTGAGAACGGGGGTCCTCAGCATCCCAACCCACATGTCAAGGTAAAAACAGCAGATAGGTAAAAATGTCATCCTGTGGGTGACAGGTAATCCCAGCAGTCTCCCTGGTGATTGATGGCTCAGGGTGGAAATCTTGGCTTAGCTTGGAAAAGCCCTCTTTGCAGTACTCAGGCTGTGGAAGAAGGAATGCAATCTTTTCCCAATTAGCCAGAGTTTCCAGGGACCACTTAGGCAGCCATGGTAGGGATGCCGGTGCCTATGGACCAGCGTGCAGCTCTGAGGTGGGGGTGGCAGCTGGGCTAATTGGCCCTTTCTGTTTTACAGCATGCAGGAGGCAGAGGTGTAGGAGTAGAGGAGGTACAGGAGAGAGAGAAAAGGAGGGAAGCAGAGAGCAAAAGGGAGAAGTGGGAAAAGGAGAAGAAAGGAAAGGAAAAGAGAGGGGAGGGGAGGGGAGGGGAAGGGAGGGGAGAAAAGGAAAGGAAGCAGGGAGAAAGAGCTCTTGTCTGACACACGGTGGTTTGTCTTCATGCTGGAGGAAGCTCTAGAGGCACAGGGGGAGTCACCTATCTCTGCTGACAGTCTACAATGCCAGGTATCTAGGATGGGAGGAAGGACCAAGGCAATGAGGTCACCATGGCCTTTGGCTGTGGATATGTTGTCATTGTCAAAGAGCAACACAGTCCTCATATTCCTGGCCTATCCTGCTTCCTTTCCTTGTCCCCAGCAGAGATGGCCCAGGGCACAGGAGAGAGGCAGTGTGATCTGATGAAAAAAGCCCAACATTTTGGTGTCCACTGACCTGGATTTGAATCTCTATATTCCCCTTCACTTGCTGTGTCCCCTTGAGCAAGTTCCTTAGCCTCTCTGAAGCTCAAATTCCCTCTCCATTAAATGGAATTTTTAGCTAACTTGCGGAGTTCATCATGAATTTTAAGCAGCAAAAACATCACTTCACTAGCACCAATACAGACCCCAGAGACCACCGCCACTCAATTTTACTGCTGCACAGTTCTCACTTTATGGTGTCCATACACTTATTTTCTTGTTTGTTACTTCCCATCTATCAACCCCAAGGTTGGGGACTCACCTGGAAGCTTAGCCTATACCCAACACAGTGTCTGGCACAGAGGGAGCCAGTAAATAATTGAATAAACAAATTATAAATAGACATAATTATAAATAAATAATAAATTATATCTCAATACCTGACCTTTACAATAC